TCCATCCATCCATCCATCCACCCATCCATCCGTCCACCCACCCATCCATCCATCCACCCATCCACCCCTCCACCCTTCCATCCATCCATCCATCCATCCATCCATCCATCCCACATGCGCCAATGCTTTGTCAAGCCCTGGTGGATGAAAGTGGCCACATTGCTGCTGTCCTGATAGAGCTTCCATTCTATTGGGGAAGCCGGACCTTGATCAAACAATCTCACATATATAGACTCACAGAGAGAGGTGCTGTGAAGACTAGACATAAGGAACTAAGAGACTGTGCCTGAGGTAAGCACAGTGGAGTATAGGATTCCAAAGGGCTTCCCTGTGTAAAGCTGGGTCAGAAGGGAGGTAGGTGGCACCCAGGGAGGGATGGAGAGAGGAAGGAGAGAGACCATCTGGTAGGGACCTGGCCTACGCAAATGCCACCTCCCTGGACTGGCAGTTCTCAATCTTGGTGGACAATGGAAATATTTTGAGAGCTTTTAAAACTATAGATACCTAGGGCTAGGATAGCTTTAGTGGGGGAGCACTTGGTGGGCATGTACAAGGTCCTGGGCTAGGTCCCCAGCACCCACCCCATCCCCAACACACACACACACACACACACACACACACACACACACACATATGGGTGCCCATGTTCCATTTTTAGAAGTCTGGATGAAAGTAACCTGAGATGTGGTCTGGACGATGGGGGTCTTTAAAATCCAAAATAAAGCCAGGCACATCAGAGTTATATCTGTAGCCCTAGGCACTCATGAGGCTGAGGCAAGAGGGCCACCTGAGCCCAGCAGTTTGAGACCAGCCTGGACAACATAATTAAACACTATCTCAGTATATTATTCTTGTGCTGAATTTTTGGGATCTTGACTATTATATGTCTTGGTGTGTTTTTCATTGGGTTGAGGTTACTTGGTGTTCTGTATGCTTCAGTTACCTGAATATCAGATTGTTTCCTCAGATTTGGGAAGTTTTCTGCTATTACTTCTGCCCATATTTTTTAATGTCATTTGTATTGACTCCTTCTTTCTCACTGATGCCTATTAGTCTCACATTGTTCATCTTTGCATCATCTTGCAGGTGATGGATTATTTTTTCCTGCATCCTAGTTGTTTTTGAGAGATCCTTTCTTACCTTTTCACTAGCTGAACCAGCATCTTCAAGATCTGAAACTTTACTGCCTTTTTGGGAAGATCAGCTCTCACCTAAAAACACAGCTCAATACTCTGTGGGAAAAAATAGTGACTGTCACTGGGATTGGATTGAGCCCAGGTCTTCCACTGACCTATGTGCTCTGACATGCATGGTTCATTGTTGGCCTTAGAGTAGACATTAAAGCAGCATAGATACTTTTGAAAAAAAAAAAAAAAAAAGATCTGAAACTCTGTCTTCACTTTCACTTAAACGGTTTTTGCAAGCTTGTGATTGAGATTTTAATTTCCTCTATATCTCTTTGACT